TGTCAGACACGCAGCTAAGGTTCACACAAATTACTAGAAGTACATGTTTAGATTCGAAAATGAACGATCTTTCTCATGATGAGTTTTTTTTCCCTAGCTCTTATATTTTAGGCTGTGGAGGGGGGCCCCCTATCTATGTGCAACACCCAGGTAGTTTAATACAGGGTGTCCCACTTATCGCGGACGATTTTAATCGCGCATGAAATTTTTCCTACTTGAGCAAACTAAACAAAATTTTCACAATATTTAGATGTCTGTTTAGCATTTATTGTGACAAAGTTTCAGCCGAAACAAATTCACCAATGACAAGTTATGAGCTTCAACATGACCCCCGTCGATTTCAAGCACTTTTCCAATCATGCCTCGTATTCAAGCAGCGTTTTCTGGCGCATTTCAACGGTAATGTCTCCAAACGCAGCGGAAATACTTTCCTTCAGTTCGGGAATGTCCCTCGGTTTGGTCGCATAGACTGACTGAACTGGCTGAACGAAAAATTTCCGCATCGATGGATGGGTCGTGGATCACCAACAATGCCCTGGTCGGCCTATTCTCCTGACTTAACGCCGTGCGACTTCTTCAGGTGGGGCTCTATCAAGTCGAAAGTCTATGCGACCAAACCGAGGGACATTCCCGAACTGAAGGAACGCATTCCCGCTGCGTTTGGAGACATTACCGTTGAAATGCGCCAGAAAACGCTGCCTGAATACCAGGCACGATTGGAAAAAGTGCTTGTAATCGACGGGAGTCATGTTGAAGTTCATAGCTTGTAACTGGTGAATTTGCTTTGGCTGAAACTTTCTCACAATAAATGCTAAGCAGACATCTAAATATTGTGAAAATTTTGTTTAGTTTGCTCAAGTAGAAAGAATTTCACACGCGATTAAAATCGTCCGCGATAAGTGGGACGCCCTGTATTTCGAAAAGTTGACCATATTTCGGTGCATACCCTTCATATCAGAATAACAGTTAATATTGATCCTCTCAGAGGCAAGAGCTCTACAATACCCACTGTAGCAAATTCCTTTGCCTTTTCCCTTTTGAGATATAACTTATTCCATTTCACAAACATCATCGGACTGTTAGAAGAGTGGGCTGGGTTGCATGAGGCAGGTAAGAAACCCTTCAGTTGAGAAGGGGCATTTTATCGACGGAGTACTTAGTCTGGAAGGATATTGGCATGGAATATTGGGAATTTTTTGTTATGGGAGTATTCTACGAGCATGTAATGCAATGTAATGTAATGTAATGCCAAACCCCTGTTCCATTAACTGCAGTGAACTGCTACCATCCCAGTAATTCCAATGAAGTTTTTTTGCAGTAGGCACATCGGACTTATCTTTCGCTCACCCTCATGCATAACTTCCAAAATTCGTACAGTTACTCCCTCTGCCAAAGCCTCCGAGTTCACAAAGTTCCATCCCTTAAGGTCCAGTCCGAAAATATGTGGCTTGTCCCGGCGACCTAACGCTTTATCCTGCCAAGCCGACCCCGAAAAGAAAAAAAAAGATGTATAGCACGAAACAGTTTTGAGGTCACTCCGCTGCATTCGATTCTTCCAACTTGATAAAGTAAACGAAATCTATTTCGGGCCTCGTTGTGCCAAAACACGGAACCCATAACATGGCTGTCATGAGTAGATAGAAGAAAGTTTTTATCTCGTGAGTTACTTGCAAACAACTGTAGACAAGCTGTTAAAGTGACGGCCCATGGCTTTATTGCTTCTCGATAAATTCCTCATGATTCTCCAAATTCGTCGGATCATTTGATAACGTTGCAGGCATGAGGAAGAAGCGATAAGTTGAGCTCGAGAGGTCGAGTTCAACCTATCTTGACTTCATCGGATCTAATTCCACATGGGACACCCTGAACAAAAACTGGTTGGCGTCTGTGATATGCATGTCATGAATCAATTCGTCTGCAGGCCCATAAAATGAGCGAGGGACGAAGCCATGATTGAAAAGCCATGAGAAAGTGGTCTAGTTGATAACATTTCCTGGGAAAGAGACTCACTTATTGAGTCCTTCCCTTTGCAAGCAGAAAGTTTCGGCGTTAAGCGTTGGTTTCCAAAAGTCACAAATCATGTCACAAGCTGACTGATGATTCAGACTCAATCGAATGACATTCGGAATTCACTATCTGCGCAATGTAATGCTCTCAAAACCTGCATCTTTAAGAGGGAATTCCGTGACTCCTTCAAGCAGCATTAGGCGGGTTGACAAATGCGAATAAAGTTCCATAAAAGTTACTCCCTTTACCGGTAGGAGTGTCATGAATCCATGTCCAGGCATGAACCAGAAATCAGAAAGAAATTAACTATCGATCAGATATCACGGGAAAAAATCAATTTCCTTAAGTCTCTCTCTGTGCCAACAGCTTCGTTCTTCCACGAGGTCCATCCGTCCAGCCGAAGCAAAAATATTGCCTCATCTGTTCCAGGGGGAAACCCCAAGTTAGTCGTTATTTGTGAGTGGGAAAGGGAATATGAAATTGCCGTATGTACGTATCGTTCAGTCACTCACCGTATGCTTGATGATGCCAAAATTAGAGGAACTCCGATGCGAGGAAACGAGGAGAATTCATCGAAGAGCAGAGGAAAGAGAATTTCCGCGTTCCACAACACTTGCTCATCAGGGCGAGTTCTCGGAATTGGAGGCTGGGAGAGAATGACAGGGTGTCTGGCCCCTCGCTCCGCTCTCATTGGCCAGTTCCAGTCACGTGACACACCCTGCGGCAGTCTATGACGAGGCGAGTGACGCCGACGAGGGTTCGATTACTCAAGCACCCTCCAGGAGCAATCTATTCCTTTGCCTAAAGGAGCCTCCAGACTCGATGCGCATGCGCCCTAAGAGCAAGGAATGTATTCATTTTGAGGACCTTCGTGACCTCAACGCTCTTGGGATCTCCTTACAGTCCTTTGAGTTTACCAGATCTTACTTACTCGTACGATTTCTGGTAATTTTTTAAACTGTGTTAGTTATTTTCAGGAATGATACATTTCTATTTTTTAAAAATGCCTTATTTGTTGAACTGATGATGACGATTAATTGTTTATTTTCTTCATAGCCTAATCCAACCAGAACTTCTATTCCTCCGCGCAGAGAGGTTCCGAGTCGGGTACGTCTGAGTTCACTGAAGGAAGATTAAAGAGCACTTGGATATATTTATTTCACCTTCGAACTTCTTTCGCTTCGGCAGCCATCCCTTCCCCGTTTCGGTCTTTGATGATCTGGAAAGAACCGTCTGCCTTGCTGGGGTCATTGTATGATTTACCAGAACACCTTGGTAGTAGTGCGGTAGTCAGATTCCACTTGCTCGGGAAATCTCTTCAAGGTCTCCTTTCTCGCTTCTGCCAGAGCTGGAGTAGCAGCACTTGGCACTACCCTGCAGCATTCCCTTGAATGGTCTGACCTACAGGACATATTCACTCCACAGATCGCTATCTTGGCAGCAACAGCCTGATGCACCTCTGGCGTCCACCAGAGACTCTCCTTAGCGTTATTGTGCTAATATGCCGATGCGCCCCAATACGCCTTTTTGCCAACAAATTTTATTGCTGCAGTTAGGATAACCAAACGTCCACAAACAAAACGGGACATCCCAAATTTCAATAGGCTGCCCCCACGTCCTGCGAGCAGCCAGAAATGTCCCGCTAAAGAAAAATGAATTTAAAAAGTAAAGAAAAAAGTAAACCTACATACAGGGTGGGCCAAAAGTAAGGTTACACTTAACAACTCTTACATTATAATGTAAAAAAAAATAATTTACGTAGGTTTATATGTGGAATGTGATGGTAACGTATTTTAAAATTTACTTTGAGCTTTGTTATTTCAATATATTTTTATCTCAATAAATTGTTGTTTCAATATATATTGTTATTGTTGTTTTAACATGGACCTCTAAGTGTAACCTTTCCTTTGGCTCACCCTGTATATTTGCTTTTAGCCCTGTTATCGGAACGGAAGCGTTACAAACAATAGTGGGCCTGACCACTCAATGACCATCTCAGCTCTAATAATGCCGTCACGCGTCATTGAAAATTGTAAAGTGGATTGGCCAGATGAGACACTACATAAACCTCCGAAACACGCCCACGCCTCGGTATGAGCTCTGTGCTCTGTATCATCATCACTCTGTCCAGAATCCAAGTGTTGATCGTTTCATTGGTGAGGAGAGAGGGAGAAACTTGGCTTTGTTTCACTGACTGTCAGGATTCCTCCCAGTCAAGCAGGGCCATAGGGTCGTCATCAGAATGGAAATTAGAACGACCTAGTGATCACGATCAGCACGTCAGTATAAGAGAGGATTTCTCGGCGATTTTATCGTCTGGTTCCAGCAATGTTCCGAGGACTCCCAAACGAAAAGCTATTATTCATCGGCATCGTTTATCTTGACACGAATGGTTACGATATTAGCGATGACGACACTGGGTAGCTCAGGGGCGTATGAAAATCACTTCTTGGGTTTGCCTCCATTATTCAGTAGATCGAGAGAAATCTGCGATCGGAATACTTTCTTCCATATATTCCATTAAAAGCGGGCGTTCGTTGCTCACTGATAGGGAATAGAACCGGTAGGCACATCGAACTATGGCTTCTGGTTCTGATCCTAGCCTCTTCAGAGAAGCTTTTTAACCTCGCAAAAAAATGTTTCAATGTTCGAGCAACAGTTGGGAGAAATCCTACTCACAAAGGGATCTCACCACCCATCCACCTATAGGCCCTGATACACTTGGATGTACTCGCCAGCGAGTGGGCGAATGGAGTGTTGGCCTTCGGATCGGTTCTTGCTAGCGAGTACTCGCCTGAGGTTTGAAATCTTTCAAATTCGTATCGAGTGCTTGCGAGTGGGTAGATGCACTAGGAGAGTAACCCTCGCGAGTGACCCTGGAGTACTCACTCGCTAACGAGTACTCGCCAAGTGTACCAGGACCTTAAAGACGCAATCTCACTCTGCCTTTCCCGCTTTTCTTTTCCCTTGACTGCACTAGCCAAGTTTCGCACATGCATGTTTCGTACCGTACCGATACGGCCTGGGCTTGGAAACAAATCCTTCCTTGCATAAGAGTTCTGCTCTAGAGATTGTCTTACAAAGAGAGAACTCCCTTGACAAATTCTCTTCTATTTTCAAACAGAATCTGGACGTGTTTATGAGCTTATAAGCTGGTTTCAGTCAGGCATCAGAAATTGAAGCCGAAACCCCCGACCTTTTTCCTAGCAACGTTTTAATTCGATTTTCCTTTGCTGGACAGCGATAGCATAGTGTATATTTAAAAAATATATATTTTAAAATGCTGATAATCCAAAACGGAAATGAGCGATGGATAATTCATGCTGAATTGTGTAAATAGAGATTTGTACCTATATATCTATATATCTATTCTTAACCATGAATGAGAAATTTGAGATCTCACAGTATGACTTCGCAAAAGCATTTATTTTTTAGACTAATGTACTTAAGCGTAGAAAATACACAGGTTACTCAAATAAACTTACTTGGAATCCTGAATCCAATTTTTCATTGACCCTTAGTCTGGTGAAGTCTGGTGATTTATATCTGGTGAAGGAAAAATAATATATGAATGAAATCATGAGTGCTCTACAGATTGTGGCATTTCAACCGTTTCTATTCAATCGATAGTTTGTCTTCCCTGCTTGCTCAAAATTTATACTTGTCAATTAGGGCAGTTTTTCAAAATCTAAGTCATGAAAAATTTTTTTTAGAAAAGTAGCTTCGTTCTTTGGAACTGGTGAGAGTTTTGCGCCGAGGTGACAAGGAGAGCTCAAAGTTTTCCCCGAGGCCCAAAGAATACGAAGCCGGATGTGCACCGAGTAAATATGAAAAGCCAATTATGCCGTAGGCCGTAACACGGGCGTGCTGTTTGTCCCCAACGCAGCAGTGACATGGAAGCACTAGACCACACTCTTCTCCTCTATACAAAGTTCCATAATTATATGACCCAATCATCTGAACAAAAAGTCTTGAGGTTAGGGCCGCATAGCAAACATTCTCGAAAGTAGCTGGAATTTCGTAGGCTGTCTTGGATGTTGGGATAGTTTCGTCTGGATGCAACTCCCGACTTATTTCGGAAGACAATGATGTCGAACTGTCCGTGAAGACTCACGAAGGTGGGAAATCTTTCACTTACTTTCACTGCAAACTGCCAACTTGTCCAACTGGAAGAAGGGAGCTACGAAGCGGCATTATATTCTACGTCCTGTGGCGTTATCTGCCAGTTTTTCTCGATGCTTATTCTCTCGTATTCTTCAAGTTTCTACGTCACATAAACTTAGGGCTTTCCCTGTAATTTTGATGCAGGACTCACCCCACAATAAACTCGATTAATCGTGAAAGTCTCGTTTTGGAGCCTCTAGCATATGAGGTAGATTGATCCGATCAATATCGACTCAATTTTTAGATCGCGATAATTATAAAAGTAGTCATTTATCAATGGATTAATTTGATGGAATTGGTAGCCTTAGCCTTAAAAAAAATGGACAGAAGACTTATGTCAGTTATTTTTGCAGTTCTTGCTGATGCCAACTTTCCCACATCATCGATATGCAAGAGAGGAGGAGGGAAAGAGCTCCGAGCTGATGGTCATCCTATTCCTCCATTACTGGATGCCATCTTGCAGCTGATGCCCTTGGACGTTTATCACCATCCGGTCAGCCTTCTCTCGCTCGAGAATTGACAATGATCACTTCTCACTTGACATCTGTCCTCTCACCCAGGTAGCAGTGATGGAGCCCGTGGAGGCGGGACTAAAAGTAGAAATTTGGCAGGAATACGAGGACGTGATTGAGCGACATCACGGGAAGAGATTGGATCTGGAGAGAGTGGAAAGGTTTGCCTTCTACGAAAGGGCCCGGCAGGCTTATGCAGTCATCCACACTGGGTCAGTTAGTCTGTCTTCTTCTGCCCCGCTTCCAAAAACCACACTGGCTTCTTTCTTCTCATCCTTCCCCTCTCTTTACATTTGCAGGGAGACTGCAAGCTATGGGAACATCATACTTAAGATGGGTGTCATCTCTGATTGAACTCAGAGACCTCGTATGGGACCCTCGACTCAGCTAAATAAAAACTCGCTGATTGCTTGCCATCTGGGAATCCATTCATTAACCCAAAACATCAAACTCTGATAACCTACAACGAATTTGTCTAAATCGCATGAAAAAGAAAACAAGAAATCGAGAGAGTGCATTGGAGGAAATGGTGCCGCTATGACTGGTGTTGCGGCTGCTGAAATTGGTGTTGCTGCAGTTGAGAATCAGCAGGAGTGGAAGTGGGATCAGGAGCGTTATCATGCACTCACTCTGACCGAGATGGATCTAGCTGTCGCTTGTGGACGTTGTAGAAATGCATGCGACGTCGCCTTCCTTGTCGACATTCACCTTTCTCACCTGTGCCACAAGACAATAGTCAACATCCTTCCCTCTCGAGTCTCGATAGGGCTTCTGTCGCATGGTGGCACATTGGATTCATCTCCATCGTCATTCGGCTTCCTAGTTTCATTTTAGAAACAGGGTAAATGAGAAATATTCCGACTCTCTCAAGCTTAAAATCCGTCCCCTCGTTCACGTTTTAAATTTGATAGTTTTGGAATCAGCACCATTCGGGAGGAAAATGCACACACTGTCCATTCACGTATTGAGACCGAACATCGGTGTAATTTGGTTGAAAAAGACAGATTAGATTTATTGTTCAATTACGTGATGATGTAGGCGGCGCACTTTATGGCAGGGTCGGAATTTGTCTCACTTACCCCATATTCGTATGAGGCAGGTCATAGTCGAATAGAGATTGAGAAGAAATTCAATGTGCCAGCTTACTGCCAAGGGTAACAACAATCGATGACGATGACGTCAGTTTCACATTACTTTTTAGTTGTATTGGACTCCTGTGTCCTCGCCTGGGGTCCAACAACAAGGGACACACCTTTTCTCTCCCTTCCCCCAACTCCACAATTGTTTGTCTCAACTTTCTGTGAATGTGGAGGGATGGAAGGCCTCATCCCCTATTCTTGGTGGGTTCTCCCCAGCACCCCGAAAACTAAGAAATGTGGTCTTTCCCCCCTCCCCCCCCCCCTTCCCCCTTCTAAATAGCCTCGTTCAGGCACGACTCAGTTTGCCTGGCAAGCGGGGAAATTCCATGGAATTAATGATGCCCGAACGGCGCTGCCACCCCCGCGACCTGGGCAAAACCGGGTCAGCAAATTGGTGGCTTTTCCCCCCAGAAAGCAGGGAAAGCGGTTCTGCCTGAACCAGTTTCCCAGCTTCCCAGAGAAACAATTCATGTTTCACGTATTCCTGGGTTTTCTCCTATTTTCGGCTTTTCAGGGTGTTCCAGTGCATCTGTTATTCTCGTAATGGGGGGGGGGGGGGGGGTAGGGACCAATGA